TATGTCTATGCATGCACAAAATTGAAGCTTGTATTCCAGGTGTTGTACCAATGTTTAGTAATACTCAAAATAGTATTCCATATTATTTATCATTTGAACATCACTTCTTCAGATGCAGTAATAACATCGACAAAGAAGAGAATTCATAAAATAAAGCTGTGGAATACTGACTATAATACAACCAATTATGCAGATTGTTTCTCCAGAAAGATGTTATTTTCTTCGGAATTTTTTATAATTAATAGTTACCCATTCAGTCTCCTGAAAGTGACTTTATTTTATCTCAATTTTCTGCAGTTTATATCTATAAAAAGGACTAAACTCAGTCTCATACATTACCATACGATAGATCGGTTTTCCAGCAAATTTGTAAAAATTAGGGTGACTGGAAACATAACCCAATCAGCTTTCAACATATAAAAAGTTGAATTAATGTAGGGCATGCCTCCTAAATACAGAAAGAGGCATATGTGTAATATCAGTGACAAGAGACACCACCATGCTTGTTTAAAGATTCTGAAACCAGCTGATAGTAAGTATAGAAAATGCGAAAAAAAATGCTAGTAAAATAGGCCCATATAATTTATTGTGTTTCAACAATACTGGCAGAGATCTGCTTAAAGTAAAATATAAACTCGCTAAGGTAATAACACGACGACTTTAGTAAAACTAGCTAGTTTAAAAATAGGGTAATTTTTTGATTGCAAATCTGATTTCAATGATCAGGAAATTAACTTGACACTTACCTACTTTTCTACTTCACTCAACTCACAAAGCCTTATTTCATATTTCTATGCATTTGTGTAAATGGATCGATTTACTCTGTTCCACTCTATCATGGGTCATTCCATTGTAAAACCTTATAAGCTACATCCTTTTAATTACATAATTCAACGCAATTTTAAGCCATATCCTTCTCCTTAGCATCTTATATATTCTGTCACAAGTTATCTCCAATAAGTTTTACGTAGACACATTCACGAGTATCCTAGTCTTGCAGCAACTCTTCTAGGTTCACCATAAACCTATCTTAGATCATCTCAAACACATTCAGATCATGTATATGCTGTTTCTTTGCAGCACACTCATTGTAGCATCATTGGTCTTACTGAACAATAGATGTTACCTGCTTTTCTCTTCAAATGTCCACCATCAACTGTGTCAGGCGATTTTTGAACTTCTCGAAATACAAAGGCAAAAGCAAGCTCTGCAAACATATGAGAGAAGGGAAAAAGAAGTCACAACTCAAGTCTTGCGAAGATCATTATAAAGAATACAGACAACATTATAAACAAGCTATAAATTAATACATCCATGACCAGTAGCTGCATTAGGGAAAAAACCACAATTATAAATAAGGAAAAGAAATTGTGAGTTTCTTTAGCAATAACACTATGTTTGCAGATTTTGAATATGGAACTGCAAACATAGCCCATGTTTGAGCCCCACTCTATAAAAATTTATTGTTCGTTAAACTCATTTACAGTCACACATTCCCCAAATTTTGCGCAAAAACCCAAAAAATTTCTTACTTTTTAACCACTCATTCTCACAAAAAAATAAATAAATAATAAAAAAAGCTATTACAAAATTCATTTTTCACAGAAACGGGGCTTGAACAGAGCCATAGTGTTTTGATTGTCAGGACCTAAGCCTAGAAAAGACATAAGGTTGTTCAAAAGAAAACTATAAGAAGGAAAAAGGAAAAAACCTGGGAAAAAGCACGAGACAAGAAAATATGCACAGATGAAACTGAGTCAAGGATCCTAGAAAAATGGGTGGATGGTGAGCAGAGGCTAGGTAAACTGAAGCAATAGGAGGCAGGATAACACTTTGTAACATTACTCATTACACGTCTAGCAGTCAGAGAGAAAAACGAGAACAAAGAAAACAAATGTATAAACATTAAAAAAGACAAAGGAATCAAATAACTTCCAACCAAAGAAACAGTATCTGTCAAGTAGCCAATTAGGCTCTCACTGTGATTTAAAATTAGCTAGAGCTGAACTAGAAAAGGAAAAAAATAAAAAGAATGATATATGCATTTTGGAGCTACTCAAGGGCTTCGCAGAAGTTACTGGCATAAAGTGCCTTTATTAACTGAGGTAGCAAACAGAATAATTTAGTTTAAGAGAAAAGATGGACTTCCCATGAATCATTGAATACAAGCAATGGAATGCTTTTGTATCGTGGGACATGCGAAAACAATTTTAGCCATATCAAGTGTATATTTAACCAGGAAGGAAAGTCAAGGTTTACCAACAAAATTTTTAAATAGCATTTGCAAATTGAGGATAGACATATAAACAACGTACAGCTAGGCTAAAAGATATACAGCTTCGCTAAAATGATCCACTCTAATAAGAATTAGCTTTAAAAAGGCTAAGCACCAACTTTACCATGTTGTGGAGTAAATGCTATTGAGATTATGTCTCCATGGTGCAGTTCTGCTTCAGAGCTACTTTTGTTCAACTTCTCCCAGTTTAAATAAGTTCCATTCGTGCTGACGAAAGATTAAACGTCAGAAAAATCTATACACCAGATTGTATCAAGAAAGAGTAACAAATTAACTTACAACCTAGAATCTTTCAAGAAAACAGAAATACAGTTGTTGGAGGGATATTTCTTATCATCAGAAGCAACCCTCTTCCGGTAAATCTTGCAATGATGTGCACTAACTGCAGGTGAGATAATCTGGAAACGGGGCTCATCTACTAATCGACCAATACAGTGTTCATCTGAAGTCAGAAGCATATTCATGCCCTGTTATGGCAATACTTGTGTCAGCCAATCCTTAAATTGCATCTTTGTTGTGAAGTCTTTCATCAAAATATGAAAAGCATAAAAAGGAAGCAGTGTATGTCAGTGCCCACAATAGAGGCCAAAACAGTGGTTATAGCCTTGATCAAAAGCTGCTTGAGTTCAAAGCTACAGTTAGAGCAAAGCTAAAGTTTTAGGTACTCGGATAACTTCCCAGTTATATGTTCTAAGTTGTTTCACTTCTCGTGTATATTAACACTGACAGATTGTATCAATATCAAATAGACATTCCAATGATGGACATAATATTAGTTTTTCTTATACTAAATTGTTTTGCATGTCATGTGCACT